CTGTCTCTTATAAACATCTAGATGTGTATAAGAGACATTTCACACACACCTGAGATATTTCATTTTCGTATTCTTCATCATCACTTCCAGAATGATGCAAGTCCAATTCATGCTAATAGAAGGTGAAAGTCAAGACAAATTAGCGTTATATATAATTTTTATACTTGCAACGATAAAAAGCAATTGTTTATATAGTCACAGCTTTTACACTAGACAATACAATAAGGATTTATCGTGTAAACGGTACAAAAATATTTTGTAAAATCAATTCAATTGATGTCATAATCATGGAAGAACGATAAACTCGTAGTACCTGTAACGAGTCGATGTTATCGCCATTTCAATTGATTGCTCAAACTATTTTTTATTGTATACCGTTAATTCTCGGATAACCGGCGCTCTTGAGTAGGCGCTGCATCAAACCTGATTTTTTAGCCAATAAGCGACGAGTGATAGGTAACATGGAAACATGCATGGAAAGCACCACGGCAATAATATGTTTTTATAAGTGCCTCATTGAAATCGCCAACAAATTATTTTCGAATAAGCGCTTTTTAGATTTTTATCGTTACCGCTATCGTTGCAAGTATAAACAGCTCTTTACAATTCCTAATAAAAGAAATCACTTTGAATCAGCGGTGGTGCCATATTAAATTACTCGACGGGGTGAAGATGAGTCGTCGGAAAATTTCGCGAAAGTATTCCAGGCCCGAATAGAAGTTCCAAAATTATTATTTAATCGAGTTGAATTCTACTAATAGGCCTATGTTAAAACGCATGTACGGTCGCCCTTTAATTAAAGATAGGCAATTATAGACCACCTCCAATTAAATTCCACTGTGGTCCCAAATCATTGGCGATACAGTTAGGCCCAGCCGGCGCCACACCCCCCTAAATTTGTACAAAGTAAATTAAATAAAATGAGAAACAAAAGATAAAATAAATGAATTAAAGTTGAACTCAAATTTTCAGTATAAGAATGCCATTTATCTATTAGTCAGATCAAATCTGTTGAAGGCCATGAAAGTGACTCTGGTCCCACAAAAGTGATCTTTAATTGGAAGACCTATAATAAGCCTACCTTTTTTCTCACAACTGCTTTTAAATGCTTCAAGAGATTTCACTTTTGTATTTAGGGAATGTGTATGTGTGAACACGGTCATTTTGATTTTCTGGAGATGAATAAGTTACATTAAAAAAAAAAAATAAAAACACACTTTATAAGAACAATGAGGCTGAAATTGCTTAAAAATTAAGAACAAATTGAGGCTGAGGTAAAATGTCAAATGAGGTTTTTTATTTAAAAAAAATAGAAAAACCCAAAAATGATATCCCTACCTTATGTGCAGTAGGTGTGACTATGTTCCTCCATAATAAAGTACAGTAGGTGTACCTACCTGCCATCTGGGGCCAATTTTTGTGGGGCCTTTTTTCAGCGGCCATTTTTGCAGGGCCACTTTTACTACATTCTAGTACAATATACATGCCTACTGCAGCTGTACCTATATAATTTTCTACGTTGGAAAAATGTGTAAAATTTTCACAAGATTCACAATACGCAGAGTACTGCCAACAGGACCCATTATGAGATCGGAAAGACGTAAAGTGTACAGTAGTCCTATTTCAGCCCTACAGCTGAAACACCAGGAGCCGGATGGAACGAATTGGGAACGGAGCTCAGAGTTCCTGAAATAACATTGAACAAACCTCTGGTATACCAACTGGGTTCTCCACTTGGCCATCATACCACAACTGGAACGGTGTCTTCCCAGCGGTACGAAGACGATGACCAGCCCATGCCGATGACCATTCTTCGAGCGACTGGTTAATCCGGGATGTATACACATACTGAAGGGCAAACAACTGTACCTCCTGTAAAGGGTCTAATTTACCATCGTCCTCTAGGTAATGGAATAGTTGGTAGAAATGGTGCAAACATCCCTCAAAAACGTCTCGCCAAAGCCTTTCGATCCTTTGATTGTGAGTGCTCTTGCCTATTATTGCACTTCTCTCACCTGAGACATTAACGAAAACCAGGATATATAAAAGTTAGAGTTAGTGACATTGGGAATCATTTGAATAATACTGTATTTGACGATTTAAAAAAAAAAAAAGAAAAAGTAAAGAAAAAAAGAACACATGATCACACTGATATACCTCTGTGTTCATTCATGTACTGCCATAGTTTAACATTCTCTCCACCAGCATCCGAACGCAAACGAAGGGGGAGACCATAACGTTCGACTGCACCATAAAATGCCTCCAAAACTGTTGACGCCTTGTTATTTGTTGCACATTTGAGAAACACTGGCAACCGACTAAAACCCTGTCTCTTATACACATCTAGATGTGTATAAGAGACAGACACAACACAATATAGTACCATAACACTATAGTAAAGGTACATTAAAAAAGTTCTACGAAAGATAGTTCATAATAAACTGAACAACATCTAAGTACACGTCAACACCAAGTTCGGAACTACTTCGCATTGGGTCTATTTCCTCACTGAGCTGCTGGTGAGCATCCTCTACCAGGGGATTTCGTGGCTCTTGCACACACACCTGAGAATGAAAATGAAGGAAATACATAGTATTTTCATATTTATTTTCCACATAAAATTTTCAATGTATTTATAATTAAACACTGTACATTTTAATGGCCCATTTCAGGCTTCTTTTATATTCATAGCCCGACAAACTGACTCAGATTTCTAGTCCTATTCTGTAGTTACGCTAGAATTTAATTTCCCACAAACTAGATTCCCATGGAGGCGAAGCAGCACATGGTTTGTATTTTCTTGTTTGTTTTATTACATTTTTTATACATATTCTGATGTTTATAAAATACATAGTAAAATACAGATTTAATATATAATTTTAAATACATATTAATAGCCATTCCACGGTTTCGGTCTTCAGGGCGAGCTTCCTTCTAAAGCTAGAAAAATTCACTACTTCGAGGCCTCCTGTACTAGTTGCCTGGTATCTAACCATAAAATCGGAAACTTTCCCACAACCAAGGTTCCCACGGTGCTCATGAGGGTGAGAAGGCATATTCTTTGTACGCCGCCTTCAGGAAGGAATGTGAACGCATTACACTGCAAAGACAGAAGTAGGTCAGATGCTAAATATAGATGACTAGCTATTTTTAGCAGGTCATGGCAGTGGCAGTGAAGGTATTCAAGTGCGTTCACCTTCACTTCATATCACCATTATCACTCAGGATTTTTTAAAACAAGGGAATTATAACTTTGACTTAGACTACAAACATAACCATTTTTTAAAACATTAACTCTACAAAAAGGAATGTAAAACCTAGGATTGTTTCTGAGACGGCGACTAAATTACAATTGAACAGGGCATTAACACATTTATATAAAAAATCAAGATCAAAACAATTTCTACGGGACTAAGGAGATTGCTTATTGTTGTTTTTATTATGTTTCATTTTTATGATTATTATGTGGCTTCCTTATTCCTAAAATCTCCTTTGATGAAGGCCTCTTTCTCCTTATGACTAGTTTTAATTAATATCCGTTTTGTTCAAAACATGCATAACGAGTTAACATCATTCTATCCAACTATTAATAATAATAATAATGTTGTATTTATATAGCACATATTGCACATTGCCTCTATGCGCTTTACAGAGAAATAATATAGGCCAACTGAGAAAAAGCAAATAACAATAAAACAGTAACAATAAAATAAAATAAAAATAATCATAATAACAATAACAACTGTCGATAGGTAACATGGAAACATGCATGGAAAGCACCACGGCAATAATATGTTTTTATAAGTGCCTCATTGAAATCGCCAACAAATTATTTTCGAATAAGCGCTTTTTAGATTTTTATCGTTACCGCTGTCATTGCAAGTATAAACAGCTCTTTACAATTACTAATAAAAGAAATCACTTTGAATCAGCGGTGGTGCCATATTAAATTACTCGACGGGGTGAAGATGAGTCGTCGGAAAATTTCGCGAAAGTATTCCAGGCCCGAATAGGAGTTCCAAAATTATTATTTAATCGAGTTGAATTCTACTAATAGGCCTATGTTAAAACGCATGTACGGTCGCCCTTTAATTAAAGATAGACAATTATAGACCACCTCCAATTAAATTCCACTGTGGTCCCAAATCATTGGCGATACAGTTAGGCCCAGCCGGCACCACACCCCCCTAAATTTGTCCAAAGTAAATTAAATAAAATGAGAAACAAAAAATAAAATAAATGAATTAAAGTTGAACTCAAATTTTCAGTATAAGAATGCCATTTATCTATTAGTCAGATCAAATCTGCTGAAGGCCATGAAAGTGACTCTGGTCCCACAAAAGTGATCTTTAATTGGAAGACCTATAGGCCTACCTTTTTTCTCACAACTGCTTTTAAATGCTTCATAAGATTTCACTTTTGTATTTAGGGAATGTGTATGTGTGAATACGGTCATTTTGATTTTCTGGAGATGAATAAGTTACATTTAAAAAAAAATAAATAAAAACACACTTTATAAGAACAATGAGGCTGAAATTGCTTAAAAATTAAGAACAAATTGAAGCTGAGGTAAAATGTCAAATGAGGTTTTTTATTTTAAAAAAATAGAAAAACCCAAAGATTATATCCCTACCTTATGTGCAGTAGGTGTGACTATGTTCCTCCATAATAAAGTACAGTAGGTGTACCTACCTGCCATCTGGGGCCAATTTTTGTGGGGCCTTTTTTCAGCTGCCATTTTTGCGGGGCCACTTTTACTACATTCTAGTACAATATGCATGCCTACTGCTGTACCTATATAATTTTCTACGTTTGAAAAATGTGTAAAATTTTCACAAGATTCACAATACGCAGAGTACTGCCAACAGGACCCATTATGAGATCGGAAAGACGTAAAGTGTACAGTAGTCCTATTTCAGCCCTACAGCTAAAACACCAGGAGCCGGATGGAACGAATTGGGAACGGAGCTCAGAGTTCCTGAAATAACATTGAACAAACCTCTGGTATACCAACTGGGTTCTCCACTTGGCCATCATACCACAACTGGAACGGTGTTTTCCTAGCGGTACGAAGACGATGACCAGCCCATGCCGATGACCATTCTTCGAGCGACTGGTTGATCCGGGATGTATACACATACTGAAGGGCAAACAACTGTACCTCCTGTAAAGGGTCTAATTTACCATCGTCCTCTAGGTAATGGAATAGTTGGTAGAAATGGTGCAAACATCCCTCAAAAACGTCTCGCCAAAGCCTTTCGATCCTTTGATTGTGAGTGCTCTTTGCCTATTATTGCACTTCTCTCACCTGAGACATTAACGAAAACCAGGATATATAAAAGTTAGAGTTAGTGACATTGGGAATCATTTGAATAATACTGTATTTGACGATTTAAAAAAAAAAAAAGAAAAAGAAAAGAAAAAAAAACACATGATCACACTGATATACCTCTGTGTTCATTCATGTACTGCCATACTTTAACATTCTCTCCACCAGCATCTGAACGCAAACGAAGGGGGAGACCATAACGTTCGACTGCACCATAAAATGCCTCCAAAACTGTTGACGCCTTGTTATTTGTTGCACATTTGAGAAACACTGGCAACCGACTAAAACCATCAACATCACCTTGGATCACAAATCCCCATCTGAAAGCAAATGCAAAATACGGAATATTGTACGCCAATTTAACATAACCATCAAACCGCCACCTCTTGCGTGTAATTCCACCAATGTTTTAATTTCACAGTGTTCTGTATTTTCCATTTATTCGAAAATATTCGAAAATATAAATTATTTTATGTCTATTATTCAAGACATACGTGGAACCTACAATAACTATATATATATACTGTCTCTTATACACATCTAGATGTGTATAAGAGACAGGTGATATATATCATTGTAGGTCCACGTGTGTTCTTCTAATTATATATTAGTCGTTGAAACAAAAAAATATGACAAGGCATGTAGACTATTGAACACTATATATATATATATATATATATACACTATATATATATATGCGTGTGCCTGTGCCTTGCATATAAATGAATATAGGCCTATCATACATAACATCAAAGTTGATGCATAGGCAAATCAGGAGCGGATCGAGAATGTTTAAAATGGTAATTATGAACGACATTTTCAGAATAGGCCAAGATAAGTAGGTGGCACATAACATTGATGTACATTATTATTATTATTATTATCGTTGTTTTTATTATTATTGTTGTTGTTATTATTGTTATTGTTATCATTATCATCATCATCGTCATCATATGCGTTCGCATATGATGCAATGCATGTAAGGACGCATATGTGTCTATTACCTTATTAGCTTATGGTTTCCATCGATGTGCCATAAATGATTTGGCCCCTCAACATGATAAATTATTCTTTGTAGACGCCTCCTGCGTCGGGAAAATGCCCCTTCGCCGTCCACGCGATGCATTGCATCTCGTAGTGCTTGTCTTGGAACGTGCACGCTTCTTTGTCTCAAAAAACCCTTAAGCATCACCTCGCCACAAGTTGGATGAGTCGTGAGTACTTCAGAAATGATGTTGTCCAGATCACCATTGACTATTTCGGTAAATCCTCGTGCTGACATACCATACCTCTCTAGTCTCCGCATTACTGTGCGTTCGCTAACACATAGCTTTTCAGCTATTGACTTGACACTATAACCTTCTTCAATCAATGACTCAATAAATTCTTTCTCATCATTATCGCTATTTTCTCTATCATTATCAGATAGTAATTAATGTTTGCATGACATTTTCTTCTCTAACATCAAGGGCATGGAAGTCCTCCTCTCTAAGTTCTGGTATTATTTCTATAGAGATCTGTAGTAAGCGCCAAAGAAAGTATGATTATGGGTCATTTTCCATTAATCATAATATTCAAAACAGCAATGGCAACAGAAATTTTTCAAGGGGTCCGACATATCCGACGGAGGAGTCCAAGCCAAGGGGCCGACGGAGCCTTGGTAGTGGCCGAAATATATATAAAAAAAATTCCATTCTGCAATAATACTTTTTTTAAACTAAGAGAGTTTTTATTTCTTAAAGGTCGAAACGGATTCGTCTGGAGATATTGGGATTTCTTCCAGTAGATTCTTGGTGTATTTTGTCAGACTTATCAGATTTTCTCCACTGTCCCGATTTAATTTTAAATTATTTTGCATTATATGGCCGTTTTCTGTTGGGTTTTCCCATTTGCCTTTTTAATATATATTATCCAGAATCTTAAATTTTAGTGTTTCTAAAGTCAACTTAGTTTCATTACTGTTACGCTATATTATATTCATGT